GGGGGGGGGACGATGGGGGGACACGGCCCCTCGTCCAGCGCAGCCCAGCTCTTCCCCACCGCCCCGTGGGTGCTGGTCCAGCTGCGTGAAAAAGGATTAGCAGGTCTGGGCTGCCGGGAGAAAGGGAGAGGGGCTCTGATCCTATTTGATAGCCTTGTAATGGTCTTAATTCCCTCTCGCTAAGGGCCGGGATGAGACGACGGCGCTTTGCCCGGTGTTAACGGGGCTAATCCTGATGGCCTTCCTCCGCCTGGTTCCCGAGTACCCGACCTGCAGCCACACCAAAAGCCCTTTTGCCAAAATAAAAAATTATGGGGAAATTCCCCTTTAGCCAACAGCTGGGGAAAGCAGAGCGGCACCATTAACCAGCACAAGGCCGGGAGGGATTTGGCTCCGGCAGCGCCGTCCCCAAAGACGTGAGTGGAAAGGTGGAAGGATGAAGTGATTTCCACCCCCACACCCCAGGGCCGGGATGCGGAGGGACTTGTTCCAGCCCGCGCCGTCCCATTAAAAGCGAGTCCCACTGCCTTGATGGCTCATTTATCTAATTTTCCTTCGGCGCGGGGAGGAAGCAGGCGGGGGCCGAGCTGGCGGGGACGCCGCGGCGGCAGGAGGAGGGTTGCTAGGGCCTGGGATTGTGCTGCATTCAGACATGCAGACAGTTCCTCCCCTGAGATGTGCCCAGACGTGACCCTCTCCGGCGGGGACAATGACTGATAGACTAGCCGAGAGCAGGAGACACATCCGCCGGCACTGAAATTGGGCCACATCAAATAAAATGAAGGAGCCCCCCCATCTTCCTCTCCCCGGAATTATTTTTTTTACTTTTGGTGTCTTCGCTGTGTTTAGAGCGGAGTATGGGGCTGCCGAGGGCCGCGCTCGGGCTCTTGGCGGAGAAAAAGAGGTTTCGTTGCTGCTCCGCTGGCACCAGGACTCAGACCGGCACCGGGAGGCTCTGCTGTCACCCAGACGTGGCCTCGTGTCACCCCTGCTGCACACCTACCTTCGGTGGCCAGCGAGCCACGCTTGGCCAGAAACCCCGGGCTGGGGAGAGGGCTGGGGTGGCAGCAGCTCCCGGAGGTCCTCCTTCACGCCCCGGCGGGGAGGGAAGCCGTGAGCCCTGCCGTCCCACCCCGCTTCCATCCGGAATGAGATGCTCTTCCCATCCTCGCTGCCTGCGTCTGGCGGAGCTGTTCCTGCTGGGAGCGGAGGGAAATTCCCAGACGCCGCTCTCTCCGAGGCTGGGCAGTCCCAAACCAAGCCGGGTGGACGCTGACCTGCGTGCAGGGATGTCACCCTCAGCCGGTGGGGTCCGGAGGCAGCAGGTCCGGAGGAGGTGGACCCGGACTGTTCTCCAGCTCTGCCGCAGGTTTGGCGCGAGTCTCAGCCTCTGGGTCTGGTACGCTCAGGCCCTCAGCTCTGCCCCGGCTCGCAGAGAGCAGCAGTGGGCTACGGAGAGGTTGAGGTTACTCCAGGAGGGCTGGACCCATCCTCGCTGCTGAGACCTTCCTACCTTGCGAGGCATCGCGGGGTCACGTCCACGCCGGACACGAAATTCAGGTGAAATCCCCAAAAGCCTCCAGAGCTGAGCAGGGCTGAGCAGCAGCCGGGGGTCCCCAACTTCGGGGAAGGCGGCGGGCCATGCCTAAGCCGACAGTGCCACCTGCTGCCATTGCACACCCGTCCCCGTCCCACACTGCGGCGCCGGGGACAGCGCAGGTCTCCTCGGGAGGAACCACAGGTTTTTGAACCATCTCCAGAGCGGCTTTCCTTCCTTCAAGCTTTTCCCAACTTCCACGCAAAGCCCGAAACACCGACCCGGGGCACTCCGTAGGGCGCCCCGTGCACGGGAGGACTGCGCCGTTGGGGGCACCGCCGGCCCCACAAGAGGCACCCGCAGCCACAGCCTCCCCCCTAAGACACCCACAGAATCACAGAATTTTCAGAGTTGGAAGGGACCTCTAGAGATCACCCAGTCCCACTCCCCTGCTAAAGCAGGACTGCCCAGAGGACATCGCTCAGGACTGCATCCAGGCGGGTCTTGAAAACCTCCAGAGAAGGGACTCCCCCACCTCCCTGGGCAGCCTCTGCCACTGCTCTGTCACCCCAACCGTAAAGAAGTGTTTCCATGTGTTGGAACGGAACTTCCTCTGTTCCAACTTGTGCCCATTGCCCCTCGTCCTGTCACCGGGAACCACCGAGAAGAGTCTGGCTCCATCCTCCTCCAACCCACCCTTTAAATATTTGTGAGCAATAATACGGTCTCCCCTCAGCCTTCTCTTCTCCAGGCTAAAGAGTCCCAGCGCTCTCAGCCTTTCCTCATCAGGGAGATGCTCCAATCCCTCAATCATCTTGGTTGCCCTTCGCTGGACTCTCTCCAGCAGTTCCCTGTCCCTCTTGAACTGGGGAGCCCAAAACTGGACACAGTATTCCAGTTGTGGCCTCACCAGTGCCGAGTAGAGGGGGAGAATGACCTCCCTCGACCTACTGGTCACACTCTTCCCTGTGCAGCCCAGGATTCCATTGGCACCCCCGTGTTTAGTCCCTCCAGACGTGCCAGGCCCCTCTCTCTTACGAGCAACGCGTGACAGGAGACACCCTCAGCGAGCCTGCAAAGTCAATTATAATTTTTTATTAAATATACATCCTCTCTTGGCACAAATCTTAAAATATATAAACGTTATATAACAAAGTGTCTTCACTGCAATAAAATAGAACTCCAGATCCAAGAAAAGCAGTCAAAAATGACATACACACACACACGCGCGCGCGCACACATCGATGGTGAGGACACGTCTTGACAAAAGGCATTTAAACAGTGTTTGTGCTAATATATGCATAGACCACACAGGCAGTGAGCGGTGCCGGGAAACCCCGCAACACGCGGCGTTTAAGGGGCAGACGGGGGCAGCGGGGGGAATCAGCCCCTACAATAAAACAAACAAACAAACAAACAAAAAAAGGCTGGTTGGTAGGAAGGCCATCTCCTCCTCCGGCCCAGTGCGGGCAGGGGGGGTCTGTGCCTGCGCCCGGGCTCTCCGCAGAGCCCCCGTGCCCAGCCAGGCGCTGGGGAAACGCTGTGGGAAGTATCGAAACGCTGTGGGAAGTATCGAAATGCTGTGGGAAGTATCTCACCGTGTTTCCTCCTCCTCCTCCTGCCCGCCCGGAACCGGCACCAGACTCACTCGGGGTTACCACTGCGCTTCTGCTCAAAGTTCCCTTTCATGCCTCAATCTGCTTTTGTGTTAAAGACACCAGAGGGTGAAGATGATAGTGCTCCAGTCCTTCTACACGGAAGGCGGTCAGAAGTTAACACAAGTACCGCTATTTTTCCAGAGAAGCTACGAAACTGCTTTTGGAGGGCTTCCACGGAGTACCGATGCTACACCACACCACCCACCCCACGGCGTTCGGTGACTTCGTGCCTCGGGAGGCTGCGACTCCTCTCCTGATCCTTCCACCGCGACCCTGCCAACCTCCAGCCAGCTCTTCGGCGGCTCTGCCTTCCCAGGGAACCGGCAGAGGTCTGCAGGGGGGCACGCAGGGCAAAAGGGGGTTGGCAAGAAGCCCGTTCAGATCCCACCTCTCACATAATCGAGCTCCCTAACTGACCCTCGAGCCTGCCGGAGGGACAAGCTCTCCCCGAGCCACGTCCAAGGAGCAAATGGGCATCGCAGGGAGGTACCGAAAGAGGAAAGGACAAGTAGCAGCAGCATTTCACAGCTTGGGAGGGAAAGGCGTTAGAAGAAGCAAAGGCGCTCGGTTGGACAAGTAGTTCAAGAACCTTTCCAAAAAAAAAAAAACCCAACCCCAACCCTTCTGCCCCACCATCCAGTGCCTTTAAGTTCTCACCCCCCTCCCAGCATCCCTGCCGGTGCGTGGGAAGCCGTAGTTGGGCTGTTTGGGCATCGCTATCAAAACTGCAGTTTTGTCATTTTGGATGCGTTTCATTGGACCTGATTTTCTGGAAGTGCTAGTGCGGGGCTGAAGGTGCAGGAGGAGGGAGGGAGAGCAGGCAAGACCGAAAAAAAAAAAAAAGCAGAAATTAAGATTTGGCGGTACCATGTTAAGGAACAACGAGAAACATGACTTGAAAATCCAAGCAAGGAATTTGAGAATAAGATGAAAAAACTGGGGAATTTGGGGTAGTAAAGAAGTTCTAAAGAAAAGAAGGAGTAGAGAATATTCCTGTTAGACTTGTCTCCTTTCTCAGAGCTAAAGGCAACAGACCTCCTTGGCCAGCACACAGGCACCCTCCCGTTCCGAATCAGCGTGCCCAAAACTCCTCAGGCACTCATTCCAGGCAGCAGAGAGATCTGGAACATGTCTCAATTCATGCAAGGATTAAGAGAAGGGAAGAGAACACTCTGTTTCTCCTTTTCTACATTCAAATTGGAGAAGAAAAATGAAGAAGAAAAAAAAAAAAGCTATTTAAACCAACCCGAAGCAGTAACACACACTCTCTCTGACCACTTTTGCCCAAGAAACAAAAGCACCAAAACCATTACAGACTGAATTCAAAGATCCGTCTCTGAACAAACACTCAGCCTGCAAAACTTGGAAGAATGCGTTTGGCTAAAATTCCACTGAATTAAAATCAGGTGCAGCTGCTAATTACGGACCAACTTATCCGAGCCCAACGCTCCCAAGCCCGGCTGTGCTTCAGGTCCTGTTTCTCAGCACAGAGTGCCCGGGCTGTAGATGAACCGCGTTTTGGCTGCGAGGTGGGCGACGCCGGGGTCAGCCAGGCAGAACCTTCCTCCTCCCCGGGCTTCCCCTTCCTTTAATATACTAGCCGCACTCCTGACGTGGCGGAAGGTGCCCTGTGCAGATCTGTCCTCCCATTCAGTCCCAGACAAGAGGCTAGTCATCCAGCGTAAATCCTTTCTCAGCCAGGACCCAGGAGGAATTAAGCCACCTCTGCTGCCATAGGGGTTCAGTGATGCTCAACATCTCATAAGACAAGGTCTGCTGCGCTTGCCTCCGAGACGACCTACCGTACCGCGGAGCGAAGGAGCCCGCTCTAACTTGGATGCCACAGTTCAGCTGCCCCTCGGCTTCATCTTGCGCCCATCGGCTGCGCAGAAAGGACCGTGCCTTGAACTGGAGGCCTCCAAGCCGAGAGAGGACTTGGCATGGATTGTACACACCGACAGACACACAGCCAACTGCTGACATACTCACTCGCTGGGCTGGAACCTCACTTTTGTGGTAGGAGTATTCCCTCACTGGGCCGGACAAGATAAAGACAAGAGCAGAAGTAATCGGCTTCTCCATTGGAGAAAAGAAATCCGAGCTCTTGCAAAGGACCAAACAAAATTTCACTCAAACAAAGCGAGCAGCTGATCATCTTCCATTAGCGCTGGGAGCAAAACGCACACAGAATTCACGGCTATCATCTCTAAGGACTCTGAAAACACCACCACCTAACATTTCTTTAATTACAAGGTAAATCAGTGACTGCAGTCAAGTTTCGCAACGGAAATCACGGTTTGTGGGCTTGGAGGCAGAAGTTACAGAGGTGAATACCTCGCCCATGCACAACCATTGAAGTACGATGGATCCCACGCGTTCTGGGAACGACACGCACGCTAATGCTTCAGTATGCTGTCTCTCCGCCACGTCCACAAAATGGAAGTGTAGGTGCTCAATTCCTGGGGAAATATTTGGCTTGAGGAACGAGTTCCGCTCCAAAGAACAAGTGCAAAGACAAAAGAAAGGAGAAAGCTATTTCTACCAATTGTGCAATTACCTCCACTCCCATTAACAAAGCCGTGGCACAAGGCTCAAACTACAACAGCTAACATACACCAGAAAAGGACAGCTTTTAACTTACGCCTTATTTTTATTTTATATATTGCGGACTGTATCAGCTGGAGAGGGATTTTGAATCTTGGCTTATGTAATCTGATTCTCAGAGAAGTCTAAAGTTCGCTCTGACCTCTCTTGCACTCCAAATTTAATATAGGAATGGAACATAAAACAAAACCACTCCCAAATCTCCATTTCCCTGAACTCGGATTTGAAACAGAAACTCCGCAACGTACTTCACCGTTCATTTTCAAATCGCAACCGGCAACGATTGGCACTATATGTAATTTCTGAAGGGTCAATACTGGCTGCAAAGCCCGTTCTCCCACGGACCCAGTTGGTCCAGAAGAACTGTAGGAATAAAATCAAGTGGGTTTCGATGTGGACTAACGAAGAGAGGTGACACGACCTACACAGCAGGCACCAAAAGACAACAAGGATGTTCAGAAGCGGCGCCAGCAGCTTGAGCCAGCCACGATGCTGCATCCACCGGGCGCCAGCAGCCTTTTGGGATAGCAGAATCACCCGGGTGTCTTCGAGATGTTTGTTCTGGCATCGTGCATAAAGCGGCAACAATAATACTGAAGGGTAAAACTGCTTACATTTTAAGTACGTAACACTTCCTTTCCTAGTGTGTCTACGCTACAGTGTGCCAAACCCCCCAGCGATCGCTGCCTTTAAGACCGCGACAACAAGGGAAGGGGTTTGGGTGGCCCGAAAGCGCTACTGCAGTTCGACTCAATCCAGTTTGTGAATCCAGGCACAGCCCCTCTCAACAACACTGACAACAAACACGAGCATTTCGATTTACAGAACCGCTCAGGACTTTCCTCCCCTGCTCTCTCCAGTCTTTGGTAATCTCAGAGGGACACAGCAAGCAGGGGATATTTTACGCAACTCAACCCAGAAATGAGAAAAAGATTTGGAAAACGGCAGCATTTCCAGCCGGAGCTCACGTTCAGCTTCCAGACCAAGAGAAGTGACCCGGACCTGTTAAATCCTGTTGCGTCCTGGTTTATGGAGACCGACGCTTACAGGTCAGAGGGATCTGGAATTCCCTACAGACTAACTGGAATATTGCACTTGGCAGACTGCCTCCAGCTAACGCGTGCTCAGTAACGAAGAGCTGCCTACCAGGAGCAGCAGTCACTTCCCAGATCCAGGGGTTCATTCCGACAGCACCGAGTCCTCTCTCTCATCATCCACCGCTTCATCTGCCCACAGAGACCAGGTGAGGAGCCGGCAGCAGCACACGTTTGTTTGAGAAGCTCCGCTCCCGGTATCCAAGAGTAAAAGAGAAGGGTGAGGCAGCTACTTTAGAGGACTCAGTTCTGCAGAATTGTAAGAAGAATTTTGTTTAGGAGAGGGTTAGTTTCAGGTCGAGGTTTCCAAATAACTCAGAGGCTCATTAAACAGGAAAAAAATCCAACAACAGGGAAAAAAAACAATCAAACAAGAAAGGTAAGTTCTCAGCTGCAGGAGAGCACGTACAAAGTGAGGGAACGCTAGCATTGCTCTTTCTACACGTGTTGTACTCTTCCCCAGCAAGGGCTGTGGGGATTAAGCTACTACCTTTCAACATTAGTGCTGTGCTGTAATTTACGGAGAAGGATCTGCGTCAGGTCAAAGGTTGTGAAGCTTATTCCCACTGCAATTGGACCTTTGACCCAGTTCATGCTGAGTCCTTTGTACAAGCCACGGATTAGTCCCTCTTCTCTTATAATCTCCTGCATGGTGAGAAGGATGGAACTGTACGTGTGTCCCATAACCCCCGCCGTCTGCATGCGTCGGCGAACCACATCCAGGGGGTAAGAAGCTGACTGGCCAATCAAGCCGGCACAGGCACCAAACAAAAGCCGCTCCGGAGGGGATGGCTGCGATTTCCCACTGTGATCTGGGAAAGAGAAAGTAGCAGAGTGTAGAAAGCTTCTCGTAATAAACACATGATTAAGAGCGAGTGGGCTGAGAGCCAGAGTGTGCTGAGTGCCAAAGCTCCTGAGATTTTGTTCCCAACTTGGTTGTTAGCTGACTTGGTACGTAACCAAGTGCTCCTGCACCCAGGACTTGCACCTTCTTGCTCCTCTGGGAGGCAGAGAGACTGCTTTTCTGCTGCTTGCCTTCTCCATGGCCTGGAGTTGGAGAGAGGGAGGCACAAGGCATCCGCTACAAGCACAGAACCGTGCAGTTGGCTTCAAGGCCAGGAAAAGGACTTGTACCGCTCAATTCAAACACCTCAAGTTGGCCAAAAGCCTACATAGAATCATAGAATGGTTTAGGTTGAAAGGGACCTTGAAGATCACCTTGTCCCACCCCCTGCCCTGGGCAGGGACACCTCCCACCAGCCCAGGTTGCTCCAAGCCCCGTCCAACCTGGCCTTGAACACCTCCAGGGATGGGGCAGCCACAGCTTCTCGGGGCAACCTGCCCCAGGGGCTCACCACCCTCACGGGGAAGAAGTTCTTCCTCATATCTCATCTGAATCTCTGCTCTTCCAGTTTGAAGCCGTTCCTCCAGCTCTCCTGGAGCCCCTTTAGGCACTGGAAGGGGCTCTGAGCTCTCCCCTTTTTTGCCTTCTCTTCTCCAGGCTGACCCCCCCAACTCTCCCAGCCTGTCCTCCCAGCAGAGGGGCTCCAGCATAGAATCACAGAATGGTTTGGGTTTCATTTGAAAGCAAACCAAGTTGCCTTTACCTGCATGTAGTTTCTTCAGCGTCTCGTAGGTGAAGAAGCTAAGCCCAGCGTACGGAATCACTCCGAGGATGGTTGGTGTAAATCCCCTATACAAAGTTTTCAATCCTTCCTCTCGGGATATTCGGATGAAGACATGAACGATGTTGCTGTACCTAGCACGTGGAGACAGGAAAACCAAATCTGCGCTGGTTAGCGACTGCCCACACCAGTAATATTTCCAACAGGACTTTCTGAAGGATCAGCAATTAATTAATTCGGCTCCGAGCTCATCAAACAGCTCAGAAGGGATTTCAGAAGCCTGTCTGCAAATGGAGAAGCCGGTGACCAGCTCTCCTACAGCCCTACCACAACACGCCACCCTGTCTGTTAGATCTCTGGCGGAGGCGTTGTGCCAGCTGGTCTCCCAAAGAACCACCACGCGGGTTTTTCCTAGTGAGGTCTTTCAGTATCCATCTCCTTCCAGCCCCTGGACTCACCAGGGCTCCGGTCATTTAATCAGTGCTCAGACCCCAGCAGTAAGAGGTTTATTACACCAAAGGCTCCTGAGCAAGAAGTGACCCAGAAAATGGGAATAAAGTCATCTGACCTTAAAAGAAAGCGCTGCGTTTGTTTGTGGTGCTTGTACTTGCTTTCGTTAGGCACTTACATCTCCTTCGGCGTGACAGCCATTCGAGCACGGACCATATCCAAGGGGTAGGTTAACATGGCAGCCGTTGTGCCTGCCAGAGAGCCAGCAATGAATCGAGGAAAGGGTGTCAGCGCTCTAAAGTAAGGTGAGAGAAGAGACCAAACAGATCACCTGGAGATGGAAACACTACGTGGCTTTTGAGCACGGCTATTCTATCAGCTACCGAGTCCCTTCCCTGCCTGTGCACTGAAGAGTCGGGTGGGTGGGGGTTGAAGCCGCTGTGGTTTGCCACAGCCCTTCGAGAAAATCTCGGTTGAGGACAGCAAGCCTGACTCGGGGTGGCTCAGACAGTACGTGCCCAGGAGCAAGAGGCTCAGGCCACACGCACGGCTCAGATAACAGCACAAGGCTGGGTCTTGTTGCTTCTCCTGCAAAGAAAAGCTCTTTGTTTTGCCTGCCCACTCTCAGCACAGGGAAGCGCTAACTCAACGTCTAGGCCACTTCTTGCTCACGCCTCTAGAAGACTGGGTCATCTTCTCACAAAGATCTCCCCCGCGCCAGACGAGAAGCCCAGCCCTTTGCTTAGACCCCTCGCGCCCCCTGTTCTGCAGAGCCATCACGAGAGGGGCCGGCACAACTCTGTACCAAGAGCTTTGGACTCAGCAGGCCTGCAGAAAGCCGAGAAACGGGCTCCCTCCCTACAATCTATATGGTCCCACAAACTGCTCCATCCTCCTCTGCAAGGAGCAAAGCCACGCTGCATCTTACTTTCCCTGGAAGCCGTAGTAACTCCCCAGGAGCTGCTTGTACTCTTCGTGCGCACAGAACTGAATGGCAGCGTAAGGGATGACACGGACCATGGTGGCTGAGTTGCCCCGCCAGAGACTCCAGAAGCCTTCATTGAGGTAGGTGCGATAAATCAGCCTGTAGGCTTCCTGCAGGCAACGGATCAAAGGTCAGACAGGGAGATCATGATAAGAGGGACTCCAAACAATAGAGGGGGAAAAGGTGACCCGACAGCTTAACCTCTCCAAACCCTCCTTCCCACCCCAACCGCAGCAAGCTGATAGCAGCTGTTTACGCTCACAACCCTGACTCCAGACTAAGACAACCAAAACATCTTCTGGGGAGACCAAATCAGATACATTACAGCGAAAAAGAACCAGAGTGAGGAATACAGAGTTTTACATTCAAGACATCTTCATTTTCCCCTCCGAGGGCAGGGCACAGAGCTGGATTGTTGTTTGCACAAACCGCTTCTCAACCCAAATTAATCCTCTTAGTATAAGACAGAAACATTTGGATGACACATATGAGCACAGCACACGCGGAACAGCCACAATGCACATACAACAAAACATCCAGCAAGCCACGACAGCGATCAGCTCCCAGATTCAAATTTGTTATATACTCTGCAACAATTCCAACGGTGGTTGGGGGAAAGAAAGCCACTCAAGGAAAAGGTCTAATAAAACAAAGCCCTGAGTGATGCTACAACATTTACTGTCACGTCACAGGTAGAACCTGGAGTATGAACGAGGACTGAGGCCCCTCCGTGCTGGACAAAAACACAAGAGCGCTGCCCTAAGGAGTGCTGTAAACAATACTGTTTCCAGCCTTTCCCTTTATGCTCTTTCACTATGAGTGCTGCTAATAAAACCCAAGCAAGGAAGGTAAATAAATACAAATGAAAGATGCTGTTAGGGCTAGTACTACCATTAATCAAACACTTCAGGTCAACGGGAGACAGACACATCACCTCACCTTGGCAGAAAATCTTTTTGAAGACACTAAAAAGAAAAAACGAGCATTAGGCCTTGCAATACATTTAGATGGATCAAATAAACCATACAGGCATTTTATCTGAGGGATAAAAATAGAAGCAAAAGAATTAATACAAAAGAAAATAGAGATTCTTTATAATAAACAAAGACTTTCTAAAGGTAAGCGCTCCCAAACTCTCTTTAGCACATAAGTTTGTTTTTCCACCTACTGTTATGAAAACGCTCAGTTTCTGTCACACTTCTTACTTTAAAACACTAAAAATAAATGAATAAATAATAATAACAAAAAAAACCCCAACTGCAAAACTGCACCGACCACTTATTTTAGTGGAGCGTTTCCACGCGCAGGTTCCAGCCTAACGCCAGAATGCCGCAAAGAACGGGTCTGTTTAGCGAAGCTCCACGCAAGAATGGTTTCATCCCAGCAAAACTCAAACGAACGCTCAGTTTCTCTTCTTGCATCCATTCAAACTGACAGCATCTCTTTAACTATGTAATACACAAGGCATTTGGAAGCAAGATTTACTTGGCATACAGCAGCTCTGTTTTGTAACACTCCTCCAGCAGGAAGGACACCCAGGCTAAAACCCAACCAGCAACACTAATGAAACATGGTTCCAATTAAGTGTCTATTGCAGTTTCTTTCAAACTCCTTTGAGACTTGTAACCTCTCAAGTGTATCAAACAATCACATGCAAATACATTTTCACCACGTTGCTCCTTTATGCAATTCAACACTTTTTTTTTTTTTCTTCTTTTCTTTTTTAAATAAAGAAAAACACCTCAATAACCAATTGCAGCTGGCTCAGCAACGGAAAAGAGCTCTTTTCCCCTCTCCCACAGGAAAATTGTTCAGTCTCTAGTTCAAGGGACAACCTTCCTAGCTCGCGCGACCCCAAGATGCTTTCCCTCTTCACAGAAAAGGGAGAGGCTCCGGAGTAAAAACCTTTAGGAGAGCAAAAGACCAAGAAATCCATTAGATACTGAGAAACTGGTCAGAACAGGCAAGCTTTAATCATATCCTTTACAGCGAGTTTAATGGGCCAAACCAAACAGGTCTTTTTATAAACGTAAGGCTGTACAAATTAACGGTGATTTATACAGACAGCTGTTGCCTCACCCCAGTTCTGCCGTTTCCATCTCACCCCTGATCCTGACATTTCCAACCTCAGATGAACTACCGCGTTTGTTCTGGTGGGGAAGCACAGCACGTACGCACCGCTGCGCAGATGCCGTGGCAGCCCGCGGCCAGCCCACCAGACCTCGGCCCCTGCTACGTTGAGAACGAAAATCACCTCAAATGAAAGTCAATTCAAAATTAAATCTCATCCAGGGATTAGATTAAACCCACCCAATTCATTTAATCTGGGATGTCAACCAGATTTAAAATTCTTGGCCTCACCAAATGTCTACTGTATTAACTGTCCGCGCTCTTCCCTCTGGTGCAGCTGACAGCTCCTGCGCTGACACAGGGGAACCGAACAGAGCCCGTGATGGGGCCGAGTCCCAAATCCCACCAACCATGCGAGAATTTTCGGTTCCAACTAGCTGAATTTCATTTCCAGCTACGCACTTTCCAGGCTCCAAAAAGGGCTCCGTAGCACAAAGCGGGGTACGCCAGCTCCGACGCCTCTCGCCGTACTTTTCATCGGTAACTTCAACTCGAACCAAAACAATTCAGCTGCAACACCACGCATCTCTTAGCGGAAAAGCCTGCCTCCGTGCGAGCAGGCACGGCCTGGCACCCAGCCTTTAGCCAGAAACTCAAACAGCTCTATTACCTCTCTCCAGTGTCACCACATCCCTCTGTGGCTCTCCTTTCCCCTCCCCACCTTATTTCTCCAAACTGAACAGACACAGGAATCCGGAGTGTTACCGACCCCCCCCTCAAGCGCTGCCTTTGCAGTGGTTATTTACTCTGCGCTCCAAAACTCTGCCTTATGTCCCAGAATACACGTGGCAGAGCCGACGTTCCTCAGCCACAGGCATTGTCTCTCACCAGCAATACGTGCATCCGCGTTACACTGAAATAGCAAAACTCCTGCTGACTACCACGGGACTCGGCTCCAACAGTAGGGGCCAGATGCACAGCTGATTGACACCTGCAATAATCCTACCAACAACCAAACAATAGGTTTTTAGACTCGATTCATTGTGGTAACGTCACCGTTCTGTCTGCATCCTGCCAGGTCTCTGCGGACCGGAGGAGGGCAAAGCACTGGGGAACAGGCTGGCCGAGCAGATCAGAGGAGCTGCTTTGGATTCTGCTAACGATAAAGTAAGAGTATTTCGCAAAAGCCAACTGGACTCACCTTGAAACATGATTTTTGTCCTATCCAGTGGAGCTACTGCAGTTTTAGCAACAGCACCAGCCAATGCGCCAGACATCAGGGAGTTGAGTACTTTCTTTTTCTCCTGGTTATCCTGGAACAAAGCATGACGCACTCAGTCCTAAGCAACAGGGGTAATGTTTTACCTTTGCTGCAGAATTTACCCCCTCTCAAGGACTTGGGTCAAAATTCAAAATTTCAAGCACAATAAATTCCTGGTCAGATCCTGAAGAACAAAGATTACACTCGTCTGCCAAGATGCAAAGTTCCAAGATCTGCCACCTCTTACACGTACTGTTTTCTCTCTATTAAGACTTCTAAAAGCTAAGCCACTGCCTCCCCATGATTTAGCCACGTACAGAAGGCAAGTTGCTTTCTTGCTCTTCCAGTGTCACCCAAGCCCTATTTCCACACTGTTCCCAAGATCCTAAGAATAAAACAAGACAGGTTTCCTACTATGATAAATGGAATGGAAGTGGTTTTGTTATTGACATTCCTGCCACAGCTCATATTTATAAAGCAGCTATCTTCTCGTAACACATGGGCAGAAAGCAAGTAAATGACTTGAAATCTAACACCGTGAAGGTTACGGACTGGAAGACAAGTCAAGACAAGGCTTAAGAATGTTAACTTTTGACGTGTTTTGCGTTTTCATGGAGAAGGGGAGTTAACATTTTTCTTTCTTCAGAATGTTTCCCAGCTAAAAAGTTAATTTTTATTACCGAAATACGTGGTTCCGTTCAATTTTCCATTCCAGTCTTTGCCTGTCCGGGGCTAAACGCAAGGGCAGCCATGCAAAGGCAGCACTGTGTGAACTTCAGCCTGAGTTTTGGTCTAAATCAGACCAAGGTTCAGCGCCTCTTCCAGTGTTTCTAGCAGGAGTCTCGTAAGAGCAGCAAGAGCAGGGAAACCAAGAGTTATGGCTCTCTTCCCAGCTCTGCCACTGGAGACATAACAAGACGTAACCTTGACCAGGGAACGCAGCCCTGCCTGCCTGTCAGCCCGAGCGATGCCCAGCCTCTTCCCAGAGGGCTGGAACCGCTCGGCTCCCCGCAGAGAAACCAAAAGCTCCACGTTATGTGGCTCGCACGTACGCTGCAGCTCTTTCAGGACTCCACAGCCGTAATCCCTTTGAGCTGTTTACTTTCCAGAGTAGCCATGCAGCTCTTCTCTCAAACCCACTGCATACACCCAACAATCTGCTCTCACCTCTGACGGGAGATGGGTTGACGTAACTGGCTCCGCATCCTGCCGTTCGAAATCCACTTGACCTTCTCTCACACCATTACCCATACCAGTTGCACTTACAAGTGGGCAGAAGAGCTACGGCTCCTAAATTGAAAACAAGAACAAAGCAAGAATTAGTGTCAAAAGCAGGAAATACACAGGTAATAAAGAAAACTCGTACAGAAAGGAAGAGCGACTTATTTTGAGGGCCATTTTCAGTACGAAAACCCCATCCCAAGCTCCCAGCTGAGGGGCATCTCCAGGATTCTACTGCCATTTCCTCCCTTTAAGGTGCAAGCGTATGTGTGTGGGGGTACTTTGGTGCTACGTAAAAACCACGTCATCAATCATACTCACTCTTTTCAGCCCACAAGGGACTCAGCTGCAAGTTACAACCGCAAAACATCCATAGTTTCTAGAAAGAAGAGTCAGAACCTGCTCTGTCCTTTTCCATCGCTTACAGTGAGGATTTTGGTTGCTACTCAAGCCTGACTGCTGAGCATCCAGATATTGGAGACGGCATACAGAAATTTAAAACCCGGCCCCGCAAAATGGAAAAAATAGTCAGAGCAGTAAGTTCCGAAAGCCTGCCATAAGCAATTGGAGGTTATTTTAGGAAAGAGACAGATCCAATGCCTCACACGTGCCAGAAAGGCTATTTTGATGACGCTAGCTATTTGACGGAGAGCAACACATCAGTGACTGCAGAACTCCCTTTCTTCACACTCGCAGCGCACACGTGCTTGTAGCCAGCGGATCAGGGCGCTTTGCACAGATGTTTCTTGCCGCGATACATGCTCTCGCTTGCCTCAAGGAAGGCAAGGTCAGTCTAACCTCAGCTGCGGAGCGTAAATGCAGAGGTAACGCTTTAAATAGAAGCTATCGCTTTAGCAACTAACTTCTAATATTTCTGCTTTTTACAATGCAATCTTTTTCAGCCTTAAACGTGCAGAAATTAAAGAGCCAAAGTTTGAAAAACTTGACTTAGCGCAGAAAGGCGGCCGCTCCAAGTTCTGAACCTATTCACAAATGGAGCGTGTGACGACAAAGGTCCGTTTTCTAAGCACCAAGCACTCGCAGAGCCGCGTTGCCATTCCGTTCCCTTCCTTTCAAGCAACGTGGCGTTAGGAAATCTGAATTCCCAAATTGCTCCCCCGTTCTGCCACAGCTGTCTCACGTGTCCTCCAGCAAGTCACTTCACCTCTGCCCCGCTCCAATGCCCAGGAAACCTCAGGCACAACAGCTTGCTTACTTTGAACGGCTGTCTTAAGACTATTTTTTTTTCCCCTTTTTAACAATCTCTAGATATTATATGCTTGTCAGCACCTTTCATACTTGCTGACCTATTTTTTTCCCCCCGCATCGCTCTCATAAATTAGTGCCAGACTTCACTTTCAAAACCCCTTGGTTGCAGCAGAGACATTAACGCAAAGCCGGAGACAGATCAGCCTTGTCTGTATTCCTGCATGACCAGTTTGGGATGACGAAGCTACGCATGACCCGCGCGCTCAGTCCAAGGGAGGACGAACACACCCGGGTATCCTTAATGCCAGACATTGCTTCCTAGAGCTTTGGGAAGATGCGTATCAATGAGTTTACAGCTCCTGAGGGTGTTTTCGGAAAGAGGAGATTGCAGGATGTTGCTCAGAGAGCGATAACTCAAAATCTTAATGAAAGATAACATCTGAGAGTCCAAAGCACGACCCAAACAGCATCAACATTTGCACTGGAAAAGTTCTATCGCGAAGCTCGGTCACATCAGACCACGCGCACAACAGCTCCCGTACGGATCAAGACCAAAGATGATTCATAACACTACGAGCAGAGCATTTCATTAAATTACTTTGAAGATCACAGACTGTTGATTATTTCTAATTACTCCCCATAGTTACTTCCTTCTTATCTCATGTACCTGGAAAATGTACTGTAAAACAACGCCTTTCAGCAACAGCCTGAAAGAAATCACAGGTAGAGCTATTATCCCTAGCTATCTCAAAGACATGTAGGTCACAACATCAGATTCATCTCTACCAAAAATAAGCCCACAAAAATAGAAATCATGCTAAAGAGCTTAGGAATGCAATACGCAACTTTATTTTGAAAGATGATTGAGAAAGAGATGACTAAAAGGAAATTTTCAAAACTAAACCGATGCTATTAAGCCTGGACGTATTTTAGAACATGTCCATGGACAAAGATGATATCCATTTACTCAATATTCTCTTTGATCCTATTCGGAGATGTTCTTTTTTTATTTTTAGGGCCCAATGCCCTGATCTTACAATCACCTGTCTATATGCTCAATTTTACGCATTAAAACTGCCCACATGCTCTATATAAATATAGGCCCTACGCTTGCAGAGGTTCAAATGTAAAAATAGCAGTTATTATTTTTGTTCACATTTGCTCTCTGCAAAGCAATGCAGCTTTCGTTTATTTTGGAGTCGGGCTGGATTCTGATGTCGGCGAGTTATTAAGTGAATTCTGGCTATTACGGCCAATAACGCACATCGGAGCCACAGAGAACAAAGCTTTGTTTTAAAGTTTCCGCGTGAATTTGTAGCACCCGGCCGTCAGAAGCCAGACATTATTTTGCATATACAGCAATCCGACTCCCTCATTAAGTAATCCACTGAAACCCAACATGGAGCAGCTGGGTATTTTTTAAATCCTCGTATTTTGTATAACCCCGTACACAGTCATTACTTACGTTTACAAAGCCACAGGAAACAAGAGAAAAAATAGCTGCGGATTAGATTTATTTATTTTTTTTTTTATAACACACTTCTGTGTTATTTATATTGCAGTTATGCGCATCCTTGTCACACATCTGGATCCAGACTGCTCAGCACCACATGCTGTAGAGCAAACCGTTCCCCTAAGAGAGTATATAATCAGAAAGCAAAATTGCTGGTGAAGGCGAGTTCAAAAGTTAAAGAGGTTTAATGAGTAACATACGCTGTGCTTTTACAACAAAACCCACGACAGTTTATTGAAAGGACAGAGCACTTACTCCGGTATCCAGTTTCAACTCCATCAGAAAACACTGCCCGTAACTCAGCCACACGTTAAAGCCGATTTACCAAGCGGCGAAACGGGGCGGCTCAGGCCCCTCGTTTCTGGCAGCGGCACCTCAAACTGATGAACTTGGCTGCAACGGTCATGTTTGTGACGGTCCTCTGAGCCCTGGGACTCTTTCTAGGTATCCTGCCCGTGTTCTAGCAATTGCACAAACAAGTTCCATTCCCGGCATACCGGGAGACGCACGGAATATGCTCTGCACATTAAAAACCAGAGCATTGTTAGTCTTTCCTTTCCATCCTCCCGGTTCTCTCGAGCGGCACTTAATGAATACCTGAGCAAGTTCAATCAAGCTGTCAAATCGACTCTCTGACAACTTAGACATTCTGCTTTTCTTGGTGGTGATTTTGATTAAAAGGACAGGCGAGACAGAATCGAGTTATTCCGATGATAAAAGCGACCTACAAGGAAGAATGCCTTCCAGGCAGGTGCCAGTTCATTGCCCAAAGCGGGGAGGGGGTTCAGAGAAAAAACAGCTCTGGCTGTCCAAGCCACTTGTGAATCCCATCGCGATGCTGTATCTCAGCTGTTTCATTTGAACATACTTTAAATTACAGAGTCTTAAGATAACGAGTTCCTCAGCAGAAGAGCCAATGAGTTTCAGAGATGAGCATCACAACTAAGAAACAAGCAGGAATTCTCCAGTTAGGGTGTGGACAATTAAAATCACATGGCTAAAGTAAAGGCTTGCAGATTATTACACAGTTCCGTATTTCAGAATTAAACCTTATTTACAAGTTTGGCTTCACATCATTATGGCACGACCAGTCTGAAATTCCTCCTTTACGGATTTTGCCAGCTACGCGCGGTGCAGGCTTTCCTGCGGCAGACCAACACCACCCACCTCCAGGAGCAGCAGGAAGGAGGAGAACTGGGGTTTGCCCAAAACTCAAGAGCTGAGGGAGGCAGAAACCGCACTGCCCATCCTCGCCAGGCTTCACCGACACCCCAACCGCTCCCATTCTGCCAACACCTGGGCAGACCCGAAACTACCTGTTAATAGAAAAATACCTTAACCACAAAAGCAGACCAAGTCATGACAGTTGTCACATCACTACGTAGTGGGAGAACAGGAGAAGCCCGGGCAGCCGGCCCAGAGCCCGGCTTGCAACGTGTCATTGCTGAAAAAAACATGTTTGTCTGATATTCTCCGGTGGAATTTAGACCCGTCGCAAAACACAAAGATTCCTGAAAGAACATCACCTATCCCGCAAGAACAGCAGATACACTGCAAAGCAAACAGCGCCGTCAGCTATCTGGATCCGACGGCAGCTATTTGCTAAGGAATGTTTGCTTTTTCCTCGGACAACTGCAGCACTAATTACAAAAGCAGTTGAGAGCCCCGGACTGGGGAGCGCCTGACTGGTAATGGTGAACCCACACCGTTCCAGCAGGGAAAAGCTGCTGTGACTTGATGCCCACAAAATGCACTGTGTCCATAAGACAGACAGAAGACACTTAGTCCTGCTATCCGCTTCCCTCTAATCATTATCAAAACTGAAGAGACAAAACAAGGCTCATACAGAAGCTTAGAAGACTTTTATTCAATAATTGGGAGTTGTCTCCGCACCTACCGCAGGTACAGCTCCGACACTGCTGTCACACGAACTTGGATCAAGTCACAGTTCACCTCTGGGGCAGAATTTCAATTTCATTCAGGTGAAGTCACCTGGATAACTCCATCCAGACCTGCCAGCTTCCCTCGTTACTCAACAGCTACCCCATGCCTAATTTTTTTTTTTTTTTAATTACTTCATTAACATCACTAACGAAAGCATATAATTAAATTAGAAAAAAAAGAAAAAAGAAAACCAAGAGAGTTCCTGCAGAAATTTCCACGCGTTTTCCTGGGCAGGCTGAAGTTAAACAGCACCCAGGGAAGTTGCTCAATTAGGTTTCCTTCGATTGTTAAACCGTGCAATTGAGCCTGACAGAGAGAGAGAGATGTGGTAAGAGCTGAGATTACTGCAGCCTTAAATTCACCCTTGGAGCAAAAGCATCGCAGAAAAAAGGGCTGAAACGC